CCCCAAAATTAGGGGTACTTCAAGCCTTCTCACTTACTGCACCTTCCTGAACTGCTGGGTGATCTTGCTTATATATTCCACCAAGACCAAAAAATATCCTGGTTTGTCCCATGTCAAGACATATAGGTGTTTTTACTGCATCTTCCTATCACCTTCAACCTATTTTTGTTTTTCTTTGCATCAACAATTTAGCATTGTTTTCCAAAACTGAGCAGAAATAAAAGCCCTACAATGAGGCACATTGTCAAACTGAGGCACTGAAGACTTTACAGCTCCCTAATGCTTAGCATAACGCAACAAGGAACATTGGAAAGTCTGCTGCAATGTCTAAAATCTTTAAGCGCAGCCTCTTCCCACTGAAGATAACATGTGCTCCCGCAGTCGCTACAGCTCACATGAACTGTTGGGCTGAACTACTTACAAGCAAAAAAATAGACCTTCTTAGCCTGTGTGCTTCAGATACTGAGGTGTTTAGAAAAATATAACAAAAAAGTATGACTGAGGAATATTTGAGTCAAATGAAGAGCAAATATTATAGAATCATAGAATCATTTAGGTTGGAAGGGACCTCCAAGATCATCAAGTCCAACCATTGAGCCATTAGGGTTCTAAAGTCCTCTGCTAAAACAGATCAGAATCTGTCAGGGTTGGAAGGGACCACAAGGATCACCCAGTTCCAACCCCTCTGCCATGAGCAGGGACACCTCCCACTAGATCAGGCTGCCCAGAGCCTCATCCAGCCTGGCCTTAAAGACCCCCAGGGATGGGGCCTCAACCACCTCCCTGGGCAACCCATTCCAGGGTCTCACCACTCTCATGGTGAAGAACTTCTTCCTCACATAAGCACTGCTGGGAGCCAAGTGGTTAAAATATTCCAACAGCAGGGATAATATAAACTTTTTTTTGCCTAGTATTTGGGTACTTACTGGGCAATTCATCAACATAACATGGAATAATATTTACTGTGCAATTAATTTTCTACCAAATCACTAACAAACCAGTATGCAGAACACCAAGGAACAACATGTGCCACAAGTGGCAAGAAGCTATGTCTGAAAAGGTGAGCAGCCACATGTGCCTCAGCAGAACCGGGCTGAAAGAGATGAAGGCTTTGGGAACATGCCCTGGCCCTTCAGGTCTCTCAAGCCTCTGAGAACTGGGATGGGCTTGTGATGCTCCTTACTAAAAGCTGTGCAGTTTGGCAACACCTCTGAAAGTATCTGGAACGCAAACGTCAGAACGGGGACAACACAACTGTGAAGAACAGCATTACCGAGGAGAAAAAACAGCACAGGAAAGGAACTCAGATATACAACAAACTTTTAATGCCTCTCCTTTAGCTGTTTGTATTCTGCCCATGAGCTACAGATGTCTCTAAGATGTAACAGCATCCAGTCTTTTACAGCATGTTTACACTGTGTCCCACATGATTACTGTAGCAAGGTTTCTAAAAAAAAAAAAAAAAAACCCAAACACCTTTTTCATGCCTGTTGTTGAAGATATCACATTTGACTGTTGTTATATTTCATAATACATCAGCCAGGTATTGCTCCTGCCAAACGCCCAAATCTTTCAAGTGTTCCAAATTCTAATAGCTTATACAACTACTGGGCTATTCTTTGCTTTTAATGGCCTAAGACACTGCAAAGAGGAGAAAATCTAAGCATTGCTCAATGAGTACTATGTAACGACTCCAGCCACTCTATGCTGTTTCATTTCACGTATATGGGTCTCTCAGGAAGTAATGATTCTCCAGATGAGTTAAGGAGTCATTTTCATGTCCATCCCCTTTTCTGAAGCCACTAAAGGAAAATCAGAGTGATACACTTTCTAATGACTTACTCATCACTAAAAGAAAATTTCACTCTATAAAAGGAAGCCTGGTTTCTCTCCTTATTTGGCAGTAAAACATGTACTGATTGTGAGCATGGGTTGAATACAAAGTACATTGTAATTGAGCTGCATAAGCATTTCAGTTTTAAGATGGCAATTCTAATCTTTCCCTCTCCGCTGCATGATCCAAAGACTGTGATGACTTAAAATTCAGACTTCCCAGCTGTTTACAAAGCAACTTAGACAGCTGAAAAGCTTATTGTTCAGAAGCCATTATTCATCCACAAATTAAAAGTAGCTGCAAGGGTTATATTGCTTTCAGTGATATTTAAATGCTGAGCTCCTGTATTATTAGTTCACATTTTGAGCAAAACACTTTGGAACAGCAAAATTATTATTGTACATGGGGCAGCAGTCTGTCTAGTCCAGTGTCATCCCCCTCACCATGGTTTCAATTAGCCATTTTAAAGCAAAAAAATCCTGTTCCAGCTTGTTTTGAGATATGATGCCCCAAGGGAACTTCCTCCTATTGCTTAGTAACTTGGAGACTGGCCTGTGTCCTAAATCCTTTCCAAAAGATGCTTTTTTTAAAAAAAAATAAAATTGTTGCCAAATGTTGAGGTTGTTGCTTCTCTTCTAGGCCTTACTAAACTCTTGGCTATACCATTCACCCCACAGGATATTTCTTTTCCACAGGGCTGTGACATGGCAAAACAAATGGCAACATCTAAAAAGTAACTGGAAAAATTAAAAGAGAAAAAAAATAAACATCCTTTGCTCTTAAATAAGCAAGTGACCAAGTTTGGCTGTGGAAACTCCCCAGACAAAGGTCACAGGAGGGTGGGAGAATATTGTAAGGAAGCACCACTACCTGTGTCATGTTCTGCTCCTCCAGGGACATCGGTGTAGGCAGCAGGACACGGGGTGACAGTCCAGATGGGCCTTCAATCTTGTCCTACCTCCCTGTGCTTACACATGGTATTTCAGTCCAGAGGATTTAATCATTCTAACTACAGGGATAAGCCTCATTGACATGACCACAGCTTACACACCTTGGGCATAAAATGGAAGTCAACTGGAAACTGTGTGTCAATGGGCAGAGCAGGCAATAGCTCTACTGCTTTACACAAGATTGAGCTACTGAAACACTAAAACTGAAAGATCAGGCTAGAGAGCCTCCCATGGGATAAAATTTCTTTCTCAACCGTTGGATGCAGAGCTGGAAACTCACCCACAGTACAGAGGGCTAACTGCTTTTTTGAGCAGCTTTTGATACCAATAAAATGATTTTTTACCAAGCATCAATATTACTCAAAGGCTGCTGCCTTGAGTCCTGTCTCGACTGTTCATGGGCTGTGCTGGAGGATGGGAGCCACGCTATCTCCTGATAGAAATTTTGAGGAGCTGCCAAGGGGTGATGTGAAAGGATCCATTCATCCAGTGGATATCAGTGGGAACGCTTACAGGACTTGGGGACTACACACTACAGCAGACAGGGCTGGCAAATCTGTACTCGTGTTCCACATTATGTCCCCTGACAGACAGAGAATTTATTGTAGAAGTCCAGGAGAAAAAAACAAAAAAACAAAAAAACCCAAACAAACAAACAAAAAAAAACCCAAAAAACCACGGCTACGTGTCATAATAAGAACTTACAAATTTAGTTGTTTATACAGTCAAAGAGAACCATTGAACTAAGAAGTGGGTTGTTATTCCTGTGAGGGTAGGACAAGTGGCACATTAGTTCACTTTATTATTAAATGAATACCAGATTACTGTGTTTAATTGATCTAAATTGTTCTAGCCCAGCTGAGGTTGGCATGTTCAAACAAGCTTGATGCAGGCATGTCATAATTCATTAGTTATTTTCCATAGCAGGCTCAGGGAATTTAAGAAGAAGCAGGTGTACCAGGGGAGCAAAGAGCCCAACTGCTTTTCCCTGTCTTTTTCTCTTCCCTTCTCTACTTTAACTCTGCTGTTGATCACTATTGCCAGCTAGAGCTGAGCCTGCCAATCACTGTGAGACTCACCACAGACTCTCCTGTGAAATATTGTTGACACGGATTTGAATATTGTTTCTCACAGTATTATTTTTTACTACACGCTATAAAATTTCTGCATGCACAAGATGAATGCTCATGAGGACTGCATTTAAACAGGAACACGACAGAACTGGTAAATCTAGTGACAAGACCAAGAGCAGCCAAGAAGTCAGAGAGACCTGTGTGTTATCTTACCCACCCTCTGCTCTGAACACGTGACTCGGTGTGTCACATTCTCTACGTACACTATTTGAACCCAGCCTTAAAGTATGCTTGACATTTTACAGAATAAAGAGATGACCTGGTGACCCAAGCAAAATAAAACAGTTTTTTTACATGCAAAGCCACTGGGACTCAGCATATGGAGGTGCTGGAACTGCTGCAAGACTGCTGTTATGGTACAAAATGAGCAACAAAGAGGAAGAGCAAAACTATCAATATAGAGGAAAAGAGGAGCACTGCAACCTGATGGGAAAGATCTTCCACCTTCAGAGGCTGTTCAAATCTTTGGAAACATGGTGTTAGATCACTGCTGCTCTCACAAGTCACAAAGCTGTATCACTGAGGTATTCTGGGGAACACAAAACATTCTCTTCTACCTGAGACCTGCTCATGTGGAATCAGGGACACTGATTCAAGGACTTCAAAACCATAGCAGATCACAACAGCCTTCGAGCCACCATCCTCACCCTCGCTAGCAAGTGTCCCCACAGGGTACAGGCTCCCACATCTTGCAGAGATGCTCTGCTTGCACAAGACTCCACTGCAGACCCCAGCTAGCACAGGTCTCGGTCACCAGAGTGGCTGAGACTGACTAGGGCAGGGAAGTGCGGTTGTGGTGGGGCAGTCACCGCTGGCTCCCGAAACACTGATCTGTGCCAAGCCCCAAGGAGGGAGCAAACGTCAGTCTGCCTAATGTCTCTCTCCCCACAAAAGTATCTTTGCAAACTGACTCTGGGGAGGAGCTATTCTGGACCAATAAGCAACTGTCCTCAGGAGGTTTCCTCCTCATTTGTTTCTCTTTCCTGTACTAGGGATTTCTTCATTCAGGTAACACTGGAAAACCATCACTAAGCAAAAACTCTCAGTGCTGTGGTTAAAAAAATGAGGATAGGTCCAGCTTACCTTGCATTGTCCCTGCCATGTGATTTCAAGAAGTTCATATCACGGTATCTGGACAGGAATGCTACTAGTTGGTCATTTGTTCTGCAAGAGAAAGAACAAGAGATGCACAAATTACACTGCAAAAACTACTATGTCTAGAGTAATTTCTATATTTATTGCTCTCGTTTGGGGACTATCCACAGACTCTTTGAGGGAGGCAGCTGCTGAAATAAACTTTCATCCTGCTGCTAAACTTCACTGCCTTCCTCTACTCCAGCAAATATACCTGCAAAGAAAAACAGCTTTATTACATGTTAATGCATTTCCTATCAGCTCTCGGCATATGTTCTAAACCTTGTAACAGAGCATGTATTAAGTAATACTGCTCAGCAATTTTTAAGTAAGAAAATTCAGCTGTGAGATGACTGCATTGATAGTCACATCTTACATGCTTTACTAGATCTTTCTTAGGGAATTTGGTTAAGTATCTATTGGCATATTATTTGCTTTCATCATTGTAATAGAGATGAGGCCAAGGTTGGAAGGCATAAAGCAAGAAAATTTGGATGTCAAAGTGCCAATATAATTAAGAAGAACAAGGGAATTCAGAAGGTCAATTCCAATTAGTATGACTGTCAATCTGACACCAGTATTTTCAAAATTTCAGCTGACAAATCCAAGAATGTAGGTACGCTTGACAGCTTTTGTAGCCTGTTATTTCTTTAGCAATGAATAAAAAAATGTTCTCTATTTATCTAGGTCAGCATATTTAGGAAAACTGAATAAATCATATTAAAAGATCTTCATCTCCTGAGTTGCATTCAGAAACACAACATTATAGATACAACACCGTTTAAGCAACGGTCTGTAATGGAGTTGATGGCAGAAAAACTAAAGCTAAAACAGCTGTCAATGATACCATATCTTGGAAACATTTCAGTATTATAAGCCACAGAAACCCAAGTTAAACTTGAGTCAGTTACAAAATGCATTTAACTTCTGGGGTCAGGCTGCAACAACTTGGAAATGTTATCAGCCTAGTAAACTATCTTCATAATCTCATTGATTCTATCTGGACCAAATGAAGGAGGTGCCCATCAACCAGCTTGAACAACCAGGCTGTAGGAGCCTGAGACCCTCCTTCTGTGCTCACTCATGTGAGCTCTAATACCTCCCAGGGTCAGAGTCTGCATCTCAATTTGGCAACCTCAGAAAACTGCTTATTGGAGAGTAAGCCGTGCAGATTTTCACATTTGCTGCTCCAGTGATTCTCCATCTTACTGGGATGAATAGGAATTTAGTGAATTTACTTAGAAATGCTTCCACATGAAATGGTTTCAATGGTTGACATCTTCGGGTGAGTTTCTAGGTAAAAGCTGGCATGCAAAGATGATATTGAGAAACACAACCAAGTTTGGAAGTGCTTAAGCTTTAATTACCTTACCAGATAAAAATCAAATCAACCCAAGTAACAATCCACACCACTAAATAAACCATTATCATTTCTAGATTGCTCACCAACCTATATTTCAGTAGTCAGCACTGCTGTGATGAGTCTCTTTGAAATCGGGGCTGCCATGCAAACTTTCCAATGCTTCTCACTTTTTATTTAATGCTTATCAGTGCCCACATGATGTTTAGAGCTCAAAAGATTAATAATTGCCATTCTCCTGCTTCTTGAAAACATTAGTGGCATCTTGGTCCTACCTTGATTTTTTTTTTTTTTTTAAGAACTTACAAAAGCTTTACTCTTTGTCAGTTAAGTATGCTTCTTTTCATGTGTTGACAACATGAAAATAAAACATCCCATTCCTATTTGGAGAAGCTTCTTAGCTATTTGACACAAATTTATGTGGCTGACCAGTTCTGTGCTCAGCATGGAAGCACACTGAATTTCTATTAACATTCCATTCAAATTGCTGCTTCTGGCCTCGATATCATGAGGATACTGCATACCACCTCCAAAATATTCCACCACATGACATTAAAAAGGAAATCAAAGGCATTAAACATGCCATAGATGCTAATGCAGTTGCTAAAATCCTCCTCACCTTTCAGAAAACTTTGCCTTCAGGTGTATACATCCTAAATGCCTCTGGCAACCAATAGCTCCAACACTTCTTCATGTATGGTGGCAGCAGAGTCTCTACACCATTGCAGTGCCTCTGGCACCAGCTATTTGCAATGCCTCTGGCACTCCTCAGAAATACTAAAGACATGGGCCTATTTTTGCTCTAAGTAAGGCAACGGAAAGCTGAAATTTTTAGCTGAAGACATCACTGGAAGCAACATCACCCCCATACTGCCAAATTAAATTCTGCTATAGCTCCACAGATTTCAGGGATAATTCACTGAACATAAATCTGGCACAAAATCTTTCACTGACCATCATGGTATAACAGAAAGCAACAAGTGCAACATTTCTAATATTTCCTTCCTGAGAAGGAAATCAAAAGGCGTGGGGAAAGAGAGAGCAGTTCATGCTATTGATTAAAATGCAGTAATATACATAGCATGTTACTATCAGTTTCCCCAGTGTGTGACACAGCACAAGTACAGATGGAGGAAAAAGCCTTTTCACAGTTGGTGCATGAGGCTGGATGCATCCACACAGCTCCCATTTTTATTTCCTTTTGTTATTAAACTCACTCAGAGGGTGAGGCTCCAGGGAGAAGGATTACTCTGCTGGTTACCTGTGCTGTTAGCAGGGTGGGAAGACAATGTGAGAGTAGAGGGGCTAAGAGAAAACATGCAGTTTTTCAAGTGTGCAGCACAGACAGAAACAGAAAGGGAAAATAATCTTCCAGGGAACTCGAAGTGTGAGAAAGCTTGTGTGTGGGAGGGCATCCAGGAGAAGATGACAAGTGAAGAAGACTAATAGGGAAAACAAAGCAATTTTACCTCATTGATATAGATTTGGTATTAATCAAAGAAAGATCTGCCAGCTGGGACAGAGGGGTCCACCTCCACCAGGACTTTACTGAGGTCACCTCAATACGGTCCTGCTGCTTTCCTTCTCTGCAGCAAGGGTGGGCAGAAGTAGTAGAGGCAGTGCACGATGTCTGTCTGTGGAGATGCCACACAGCAAAACTCAGCCAAGCCTCCTGCAGGGTCGGCTCAGAGGATGGGAGCATGCAGGGAGGCTCCAGGGCTGCTGGTGACTCAGCCCTTGGTGTCGCTCAACCTGGGGATACGGTTGAGCCCCTGGACTGGGGGTCAGCCAAGGAGAAGGGTCAAGAGCACAGTCAGAGATCCGAGGAAGAGAAAGGTGAGTCTGAAGCCAAGAAGGGAACTCTAGAAGCTCTTATAGTCAAAGCAAAGTCTGTCACTAGCCTTTTCCCATGAGCAGACCCTGGCCTGGGCCTGAGCTAACCCTGGGTGTAAGCACGCTAAGCAACCACTGCTGAGCACTGCAATAATTTCAGAATATGGCATATACACTGCAGACTGAAATGGAAAACTGGGAAGTAAAAAACTGAGTCCGTGTTTGCATGGTCTGAACATGCTGGCAGCTCTGCCCAGGAAGCAGTACAAGTGCATCCCTGCAGGCAACCATAGTCAAACACCATCGAGAACAAAAGGCAGTGCTGGGCTTGAAGTTTTAAGCAAACTCTCCAAGTCCTGGTGACTAATCCAAGCAAAGAGCAGAGATCCCCTTAGTTTACAGCTGTGAAAATAGATTAAGAAAGTCTTTGGAGAATCTGAGAAAAGGAAAACAAATCATTGTTACTTTTGGAAGATAGTAAAGGTTAATATAAATGTCCTTGATTCAACAGTGTACTTTCATGCATGGGCAAACTGAAGGACATAAGGAACAGCAGGCACTTCAATGAGACTATTCATATGTCCAAACTTACACAATTGCATAACAATTTGGCTAAGTTAGATCAAAAGTTCAGAAACTTCTAGCAGCACATAGGCATGGAAATAAGATCACTTGATTCTGTTCAGGAACAAGATGAAGGAAAGAGCAACTGCTCTGCAGGATTCTGGGGCTGGACTTTGCCATTCGGGCAGTGCATGGGCTGCCCCCTGCATGGTGTGATCCTGGTGCCCCTCTCCCGAGGGGTATTTCAGACAGGCTGGTGTGGGTCTGCCTGTCCCAGCAGGGACCCTGGGGGGCTGCCCGAGCACAGAGCGGCTGTGGTTCTGCAGAGAGGAGACTGCCAACTGAAACAGTGAGCAGTGACAGCATGAAAAACTTCCTGGGCACCACAGATCTTTGCAGCCCAAAAAGCCACCAAAGTAACTGAAACCCAGCCCAAACTCCAGAGCACACCCACAATGATGCTGCAGCAGAGGCAGTACTCAGAGCCAAAAATCTCTTTAGGTTTCTTTTCTGCTTCAGTGGGTGAAGTCACAAGTAGGAAGGTTCAGCTTGACATCTGCTTCAAGGAAACTCACCAGTGAGTTCTTCAGAAAACATCCTTGTTTCAGGTAAATCCCAGAACTAGGTCTATAAACTATTTCCTTTATCAAGGACCAGACTGGGCAATCTTGTTTCAAATTCCATCAAAGTGCTAGGGGCTGCAGTGCATCTGCATCAAAGGTATAGATCATCTCTCCGTCTCCTAGTCACTTAATTACTGATCTATCAGAAATGTAAGGCTAAATAAATGTTTTTAGATGTTATGCATAGATACAGTGTTTCTGCCTGGAAAGCAGCTCTGGTACTGGAGAATTCTTTTGTTACTGGCTCAAGGTTTGAGACAAAATCTCATGAAATCCACAGAAATCTCTCCCATGGTCTCACTGGGCTTTAGACTTCTATAGGCAACTTCATTCTCTTCAGCCCTGCTTCATTACAAGTGCCTGGGAAGGGATGGACTTTACTGCATGGGCTCTTGCCAGGTTGTTCATTCACAAGGAATATCCCACATTGTCCTAACCTAAAATTCTGTCGTGTATTTATCCCAAATTACATGCACAACCATGGGATAGGGACAGCTGCTAATCTGAAGCCAGACGAAATTCCACTTTTAATCACTATTTTTTGGCATTATTTTCTTCTCTTCTCTTTTCCTGTATGCTTGCTTTTAAATGCCACCATCAGCACTCAGAAGTGAATTCTGCTACCCCTCCCAGGCAGCTGTAACTCACTT